GATTTGAGTGTTTGAGTGGAAAGTGCACTCATTCCTATTAGGCTATCATTGCTTGCAGACTACCTTGCTGGACAGAACTTAGAGTATGTGTATATACATCCACACATATTTCATATATACACATATATTTATATCTATATGTAAATATATCCATATATATCAATATATATTGAAAACCACACATTTCATACCAATATCTTCAGTTTTAACCCCAAACCACGGGGTTCATTCCACTTTTCTCCAGTTCTGTATTTGTAACTCCCTTCTCTGGCTATACCAGTCTGGTCTTCATTATCCTTCATATTTTAAATTTTCTCAGTATCCCCCGGTGTAACCAATTCCCCACTGCTGCTTGTACCCACTCCCCACTCACACTGCACAGATTCTGATTTCTGACACTGTTCCCTCCCTGCCATACACATGAATTCCCTCCTCCCCGAGTTCAGGCTCTGACCCCTCCTCACTCCAGGCCACCTCCATACAAGCACCCTCCTCACACGATTCCATCTGCACTGCTGAATGTCTGCTAAATACCATCATCCTCTGACACCCACAGCTGGCTGCTTCTTCATACGGACACCTTCTTTACTATCTGGGCTCTGTCACCCCACATCAAAACTTTTCCCATATGTAAGCCTCAGCAGCCCACCCAGACTCTGACAAGCTGCCCCTTTGTGAAGGTACCCTCCAAAGTCCTGACCCAGGCCACCTCTCCGTGTGGATTACTTTCTTCTCATCCTGTTCAGACTCTGGCATCCCTTTCTCCTTTTGAGGGGCTTTGATAGCCTATGCTGGTCATTGCTGACACATAGCTGCTTTCCTCACCCTGCTTGGTTCTCAAGACTCCACACCAGGCTCAGCCTCCACCTAACTTGTCCTGCTTGACTTCAGGGCATTAGGACTGAATTACTCCAGAAGGGAAGAGGAGGGGAGAGAGAAAAAAAAGGAGAGAGATCTTTGATCTTTTGCTTGCTTATAGTCACCAAAATTTCCCCTTCCTATTGTTTTTCTTTTCTGGCTAAAGAGTCACTTCCAATCTACTTTGGGACTTTTATCCCAGTGAAGCCACCAATGATCTCAACTGTAGCCTCTCTATTGTGTATTCTTATACGAAACTCATTGCATGGATGCAACTAGACACATAAGATGCTTAATGAATAATATTTTATTTTAATCCATACCAGCATAAGAAATTATTGGCTCAGCATGATGAACTCTGATTTGCATACCTTACTTAGAAATAGAACCCTACAGGAATCAATAATTTGTATCATTATGTTATTCATTTTATTTTTTCAGGATGTTTTTGTTATATGACAGCAATACTTTAAAAGGGAAAAACCTAGCCCAACAACCGGTAAATATGATTTTAATGAACATGTGACTTCACACCCACTGGATTGACTAAAATCTTCTGTTATTTGGCATTATCTACTAGTATCCTTTTAGTAGTAAAATGTTCAGATTCATTTTGAAAATAAAAATAAAAATAAAAATACAACACCAGAGGTAATTGTCTGAGGCAGGCAATATCCTTAAGAATGCTTCTTTACTAACTGTGCTTATTCATTATACAATTACGGTGGGAAATATATGCACATAAAGCCACAAAGGTTCATAATATGGTTTTAATAGTGTCTAAGGGAGTATTTAGGATTCTGATATTAGCACATGTTCCAATCAGTCCAATATTTATTCATTTCAGAAGTAACAAAGACACTATAATCTAGACAATTTTCCTTTGTCTAGCATAATTACTTGAAGATAAAGCAGAACTCTAATATGATAAATTAAGAAAATAAAGGATGTTTGAATAGATATGCTGCTTTAAGGAGGAGTGATACAATTACCTAAAAGCATATTATCTTTTTAACAGACAACCTTTGTTGGCTTCCTCTGCAATGAGCGAATAGAAATTCTTGCTAATTTTAGTCAAAAATAGACCAGTGACTGGCTGAACTCCAGTGGTTGTAACAAACCAAAGATTCCAAGCTATGTGCATAGGATCTGGTGGCAAAAGTAATGAGATTTGCTCCACAAGACTCAGGCTTCCTGTAGGAATGAGTGGAAAGGAAAGGACCAAGTTTAGGGGTACATTCTTTGTGTCAGCACCATGATAACTATTTTATATGTTACTTCATTTACATCTCAGACAGCCCTGAAAGATAGTTATCATTCATCCTCAAATAACAGCAAATTAAAAGAGAAATTAAGACATTTGCTGATCATCGTACTCTATAATAGACACTGCCTGGGCAAACAGAGAAAACAATGTAAATGGAAGCTCCTGGGGTTTGCAATATGGTGGCCCCGTGGAAGAGTCCAGTGTGGCTTAGTGTGTTCTTCAACTTTCTAAGGCATCATTCCTTCCCAAACAAGCTTCTTGTGATAGTGCAAGAAGGTTTGTAGTTTCATGACTGTTAAGCAAAACCAAATTAGAAACTATATTTCTACTTGAGTTTGCATGGATTTCTCCAATGAGAAAACTAGCTAAACACAAGAAATGATGTTATAATGACATGGCAGAAATTCACTCTGAAGTTATTTATTAAATTTCCTAATTTTATATTAATAAAATTCTCTTTTTTCTTTAATATTTTCATGATCTCAAAAAATGATGACTTTTCACTAAAGGTTGCAATGGTAAATGTAGAAATTTAGTTTGATTTTATAGTCCTGCATGGTAATTGTAAACATTTTTGTTTTTTCAATATGGCCTTTATATGTTTCATTATACTTAATATGGATCCTACATTAGTGTAAGGGATGGTGTTTGGACAGGTGCCTGATACTGACTTTTAAAATGTTGTTAATTGTAAGCTCAGCTGGACTTAAAGGTTGTGCTTCAGCTTTCACTTCACTTTTCCCAGATTCTTCTTTTAAATTGATAACTAAAGCTAACTCTAATTTGGTTTTCTGGGATCAAATTGTGAAGTTAATGTGAGTTAAGGAGATATACTCAAGAGTTTCCAAGGCAAGTGGAATTATTAGGGTGATATTTCATAAAAAGAAGAAATGCACATTGTAGCCTGTGTGTGATTTTTATGATATTTCATCTACTTGTGATTGTCTCCCCATCACCCATATATGCTAACACACACTTGTACAATGTATACATATGTAGCCCCCCACTCCACACACATACCCACACACCACAGCCTTGTTTTGCAACCTGCTGGACTTAGCAGTCAAGTAGCCTTGGTCAAGTCACTTAAACTTCAAGAATTTAATTTTCCTCATTGAACAATGGGAAAATGACACTACCTTTGTTTTAGGTAATTATAAGGATAAAATGAGTTTAGATATGAAGACAGCTTAACACATAGTCAACAAAAATATTAATCATTTTTTGCGATACAAGATTTGTTGACTCTCCTTATAATCTGGCAATTTGTTATATCAAATTTAGTGCTTTATTATATTACCATTTATAATTATTTAAATGTCTAATGTGTATTAGTTTTATCTACCCCATTATAAAATATGTGCCTGAGAGCACTTGAGGTCAGATTAGTTCATGGGAAGAATCATTGAGATACTGAGTTTCTGAACTAAGGAGTTTTGTAATCTCTATATCACTCATATATACGATACTAATTACAAATTTATGTAAGTGAATTAAATATGTGGTCACTCACATGAACTAAAAATTTGTGGCTAACAAAAGAATTTTCAACTAATTCATATTTTTGTATTAAAGGGGTGTAACTAGAGACACTTTAAAAGACTAAGAGATTTTTGCTTGCAGTTGAATTTGAACTTTGATGGTACAATTTAAGGAATCAGAATTTTCAAAGTTTAGGGTAAAAGTTTGACTGGCTTAGTAAACATTAATTTAATTTAATTTTATTTTGATATAAGCAAGATTTTTATTAGTGAAGTAAAAAAAATAGTGAAAGATAATACACTTCCGAGAATTGGGAGCGGGCCAATCCGAGAGAGGAAGAATGGCCAGTAAACATTGATTTTAAGTGAAATGAAATGACTGCTTATAGAAACTGTTCAGACTTCTCTAGACACCATTATTTATCACAATCCTCAACCTTATCTGATCAATTACAGAACAGATATGCTCTCGAACTAAAAAGAAAGCTTTGTTTTAATGTGTATATATTTAAAGATTAAGTTTCATCACTAACTTTTTTCCTATTTGGGAAGAAATATCATATGATCTCATTGCACAAAACAGTAAATTTATTGAATTATTTCTTAGCTGCAAACTTCAAAATGAATCCCAATGATGTATCTAATAAGTAGGAATCATGCTACGTAATTAAACAAAGAGCACTTGTTGAATTGATTCTCCTTTTGGGCTCTGTATACTTGATTATAGTAATGAAAATGTCATTTTGCTATCTTTTGAAAATTACCAACTCATGAAGGAAAAAAAAGGCATTGAAATGCAAGATTAAAAAAAAAGAAATGCAAGGTAAATGAGTATATCCACTTATAAAATTAGTATAGCTTTGTATATATGTATATATTTATATTCACACACAAGTGATTCTGCTATAATCATTCATGTGTAGCAAATTTTTTTTTCAGTAAAGATAGATTTATTTAGAGAAATACATACTATATAGAATGTAGGCTGTTTCAGAGGGTGAGAAAAAGGCCATGAGGTGTGGGGGTTGGGTGCTCAGGTTAAAGTAAAAGTAGATACACACTCCATAGACAAGAGTGCTTGCCATCTCAGAAGACAGAGTGAGAGAGGCTGTGAAGCAGTTTGCTAGTTTTTATGGACTCAGTAGCTTCACATGCCAACAAGTGGGAGGACCATTCCAACTACCCTGGGGAAGGGGCTGGGATTCCCAGGATTGGGCCACCGCCCACACCTTGACCTTTTATGGTCAGCCTGAAGCTGTCATGGCACCTGTGGGAATGTGTAGCAAATATTTTTGATGACAAGATCAGTATTACTGATTTTTCCTTTCACCTCAGGTTTTAATATGACTCTATAGGGCATTATTACTAATTTTACTGTGATATAGCCTTTTGAGGTTTTGTTCAGTATGGGCTTGTTTGAATTCATTTTGATTTTTTAAAAATATATTGTATTAAAATATTATTCATATTGATAACTAAGACAATGTTTGTTTGCTTAATCTCTGCCACTCTTTATAATATAGATCCCCAGTACTGAGTTCTGTGGTTGATCATCATGCTTGCTTTGAAGTACGTGGTCCTGCCTATGGTGGATGCCTAACTTCCTGCTTCCTGCAGGCATCTGAATTTGTGATCCCTGCTTTGTTCCTTAAATTTTGGAAAGTTGCTTAGTCCACAGCACTATCAAGTAAATTTCCATGGCAATACAAATTTCAGAAAGAATCGTCTGTGTGACCTTTTCACTTGGACACTTAACTGTTGAAGATCACTCTTTAAGGACTTTGATGGTTTTGATTCTTGAAGTTTCTAATGACTGATTTTAATGGTAATTTTAGAAAAAAAACACTGAATAAGTGTTTAATAATCTGTGAGATAATAAAGGACTAGCATTTCAATAACTTTAATAACTTTTGTTGTATTAGTTACTTGTTCTTTGATATTTTTGCCATGAAATGGCTTTACGATTAGACTGATCACCTTTGGAACAATTGATATGGAGATGAGATGGTGTAAAAATGTGGGCAGATGCATCTGATACTTTCCTGTTTATGTTGTATCTGAGGCCCTTTTATTCCTCTTTTTTCTTTTTTTAAATTGAAGTATAGTCAGTTTACAATGTTGTGTCAATTTCTGGTGTACAGCAGTATGTACAGTCATACATGTACATACATATATTTGTTTTCATATTCTTTTCCAGTATAGGTTACTACAAGATATTGTATATAGCTCCCTGTGCTATACAGTAGAAGCTTGTTGTTCATCTGTTTTATATATAGTAGTTAGTACCTGAAAATCTTGAACTCCCATTTTATCTCCCCCCCAACCCCGGTAACCATAAGTTTGTTTTCTATGTCTGTGAGCCTGCTTCTGTTTTGTAAATAAGTTCATTTGTGTCTTTTTTTTTAGATTCCGTGTATAAATGATTTCAAATGGTATTTTTTTTCTCTTTCTGGCTTACTTCACTTAGTATGACGATCTCCAGGTCTATCCATGTTGCTGTAAATGGCATCATTTTATTCTTTTTATTTCTTTTTAACATTGATTAATATTACCTGTCACCACCACAAACTCAATGTGGCTCAAGGTGTCATTTTTCATAGAAATTAGAAAAGGGCATCTTTAAATAGGGGATAATGTTAAAAGCATTAGAAATTTTAACTCAAAATGATTATTTCATCTTAATTTCATATATAGAGAGCAATGTGGGCAGGTAGGCTTGTAAGAATTTATAAGAATGAATCAAATGGTGCTTAACCTTAAACACACTTATGGAAACCTAATTCCTGTTTAATAAAATAGATTAAGACACTGTGGAAAGTCTTGCCAATGAAATGAACTCTGTCTTCCTTAGGGATGTGCTGCATCAGTAACCAACCAACATGCCAAAATGTAGGATTTCCAGTGATTGCAAAATACATTGTTGCATTTTAAACTGCTTATGTTGAAAACTTAATCTCCTTTAACCAAGAATAGTAGTGGTTTTCCTAGGCATGGCATGTTACATTTAAAATATTTATCCATACCTTAAAAGTCTTTCTCTCTCACCTCTACTAACCTGATACCTCAAGGTATCCAGTTTGACACCTAATTTATGGTAGGGTCTTTCTGAAATCTAATTTGTAAAACTGTTAGATGTAATTGGTCACTTCTTCCTTCAACAAAGGCATTTTTAATTGCCTCTGGTTACTTCATACTGTTGGTTTTCCTTTGACTTCATTGGTTAACCTTGGTTGTTTATTTTCTATAGGATCTTCTCTTAAATCATAATGTTGCTCAGAATTTTGTCTTTGACTCCTCTCCTTCCCTTTCCTCCCCTGATTTTCTCACTCTATACACTGTCTCTTGGCAATGCTACTCTCACAGGCTATATGCTCATGACTTCCTAGTCCACATCTCTAGCTCAGAACCCTCCCCTTAGAGCCATCTGTCTACAGCTGCATAAAGAATCTCCCCTTGGATGTGCTTTGCACATTCACGTTCAATCCCAATGTGCTCTTCCTCTGAGTTTTTCGATTTTAGTAAACAATTCATATGCCCACTTTCCGAAAACAACAACCTGAAGGCTATCCTGAATCCTGTCCTGTAATCATTCCATCAAATTCTGTTTTCCTCAGTAAGCTCTCAAATTTCTCTGCTTTTTGCAATTACCATACCACCACCTTCATTTTTCTCCATTATTTCTCAAATTACTAGAGCAGTCTTCTAAATCTTGCCTCCCTGCCTCGAGTCTTGTCACTCTCCAAACCCATTCCACACTTCACCCAGGGTAATGTTTCTGAAGGGCCTTTCCGGAGGTCTTCTCAAATTCACTTCTTCCCACTTCTCAGCCTTATCTCTCCTCTCCATCCAGAATCTCCCTCTTTCCTGTTAAAGCTACAGTCAAACCTATTCTTCCCTATCACTTCATCCAGGCCTTTGGCTGTACTTTTCCTTGTATAGAATATACTCTCCATCCCTCTTCCCTGGGATAACCTCCCCTTGTTCTGTAGATTCAGTCTCAGAGTCCCACTTTATGGTGAGAAATCTTGACCAGTAATCCATCAGTGCCTTGGCTGGTCCCCCTCTCTGCATCCAGGAGACTTTGTTCATCTTGTCATTTCATTATTTCCATCAGATTCCTTGTCTGCTTTCCCAAACGGAAGATCCTAAGGGTAGTAGATAGAGATGGGCAGCAATTCTGATCGTATATATAAAGTTCTGCCAAACTTCTAAAGGAAAGGTTTTGAAAGAGCAGATTCTCAGAAATCTACTGAGATGACTCCTAATCATAGTTGGGAGCAAAATGATTGAGTTTGGGGGTCCTGCTGGAAACGCAGAGCAGCTGTACTCAGCAGTGGAAACAGCCAGCTCACGTATTGTGTCACGTCATACTGCATATATTTTTAGCTTTTCGTTACTTGGTGATTTGTTTTGAAATATTTTTCTTGTTTCTCCCATTCATTTTAAGCTCCTTGTGCTGGGAGACTTTAATCTCTGTGAGATATAACATTAGAGGTCAGACTTCAGAGTCTGAGAATTGGATTCCAACAATCCCATGTAAACGTGTCGATGAAGTGACCACAGAAGGATAATCAGTGAGATAAAAATGGATTATAACTGAGAAATACAGTTTGGGGGAGAGACTAAAAAATTAAATAAGTGTGTTTTAAAGAAAATGAATTTGAAATTTTTATACTGGAAAAAATGGAAAGTAATGTTAGTTTCAAATTGCATATATTATATTTAATTCATGATTTAAATAAATATATTTTCAGTGTTGTGAGCCATGTGGTCCACTAACGGTATCATCCTGACCATCACTAGGGTTTACTGGGAACAATTACATCTGGATTTTTTGGCCCACATATTTGACCTCCAATACTATTCTCCATTTATAGGAATCAAGTATCTTCGGAGAGTAGCTGATTCCATGTTTTAGGGTGGGCAAAAGTCAATAATGGCTTGTTAAAATCTTGTTATCATTAGAAATCAAGTGTGATTTCAAAAAATCTCAGAGAATACAAAAAGGTAATACAGTCAGCTTCAAGTGCTCCTAGGTCAATTTGCGATGATCACACATCTCAAACAGAATCATAATGGTGGTTAAATGCGAAGCTGAGGTTGTGATATGAATCATAATGATGCCTAAAAAAGAAAAAACTTAATAGAGCATGTTGCAGGGTTTTTGAAGTATACAAGAAGGGTGACTATATTAGGATATGTCAAATCTAAAACTTATTTTGGTGAACAGAAGAGTTTTAACATATATGCGTATTTTATATCTTTTATTAAGTACATACCAATTTATAAGATATCAGTTGAATTCTAGCTGTATAAGTAAGATTGTAAAAGGTTTTATTTGCAAGTACTACATAAAAAGGCTATAGAATTCCTGGACATTTCAGATATTTAAATTGGGTTGTGTTTGTTTCCTCATTGGTACTTTTGTGAGATCCTCCAAGGCCCGTGGTGAGGACATTAAGCTATCTTGTGTGTGTGATGTTGGTTACCCATCTTCCTCCAGCTGGCTGCTTCCCCTACCCTTAGTGTGCTTTTCTGGTGGCCCAATAAGCAGAGACTGTCTTCTCTGGGGCCCCATTGTCACTTCAGGTGCCCTCTTAGGCAGCATTCAGAAAGGCTCCAGATCTATTTATACTCACCTATGTGGCTCCACATCTGGTTCATGGGAACTTGTCATCCATCCTTGCCTTGAAAACTTTGGGAGCCAAACTGCCCAACGCAGCCACCTTTGCTTTCTCCTTTGCTTCTGCTACTAGAACTTCTAGCCACTGGTTGCTCCCTTGTAACTTTCTTGGCAGGTTTCACAGTAAGCTGCAACACCCCCTAACTGCAGATAGTACTCAGCAACTTTGAGAAATTCCATTGAAACCCCTCTTTCTTGACTTGTGTTGAGGGGGTAGAACACTCAGTCCCCCTATTTGTTGTGTTAGATAGGAGGACTTAGGGCAGAGCTATCTCTCAATAACTTCTTTACACACAACTCACATCTCTTTTCTGTCTTCAGTCTCTGAACTATTTTTATGTCCTCAATCTGGGCAGGGTCTCAATTTGTTCTTCTTTGACCATCCTTTTCGAAATGTCTGAATGGCAATCCGTTTCCCACCTCATTTTGGTATCTGAAATCTATTGCCATTGGCTCTCAGACACAATTTCATTTTAATATCCTATTAGCATTAAAGTTTCTCATAATGCTAGCACATCGAGTAGGTATAGGGAACAGCAAGAGAATGGGTTTGGTAACCCTGACCAAATGAAACTTTAAAAACACGATTTCAAAAAAAGACACCAGGACTTACACTCATCGTTAGTCACTCAAGTTTGCATCACTGTGATCCTATGTTGTGACCACGAATTGACTGCTTGGTAACACAAATCCTATGCCCTTCGTGGATTTAAAACAATATAATTGAGTGCATGTTAGGAGCTGGGAGAAGTCTTGTAAGATTGCTGTCATCTAGAACAGTATTGAAATGCTTATTATTGTAAACAACCTAAAATTATAAGGGTAGAAATAACGAAGAGAAAACCTACAGCATTGATAGTTTTAAAAAGTAATACATTTTGTAGTTATAATATTTGTGTATGTTTTGCCTGCTATTTTCAGTGTTACAGAGAAATAGTCATGTTAAATTTCTAGGGCTTTTTTTTTTTTTAAGGATATAGTTAGTGGAAATTGCCAGCCTTCCTTAGTATCTATTCTCACTTCCTTCTTATTTTTAGTAATGAAATCCTCAGATTTTAAGGTGGCACATGCCCAGCTGGGAAGTACATTTTCAATCTTCCTTGTTAGTGGGGCTATGCGACTAAATTTGGGTCAAAAGCCTAGAAACAGACTTACGTTTGTAATTTATGGATCATGTTCAACTTAAAGACAAGCTTCTTACCTTGGAC